TAACAGGATTATTACCTAGGATTCAGTAACAATACAAACAAAATAACAATTTTAGAGAAGGAGGAAGAGGTCTACGCTGAACCTGACGTTCCCTGGTCCAAAACATGGACCAAATCCCAATGAAGAAGAATAACTCATGGTTTAACTCTAGCATTTCCCACTCTATATGCCTGAAATTATAATCACCCATAATTATGACCTAATTAACAGCTGAAATCTTAATCTCACTGTAAAGTTTCTCAAAAATTTAATCAATATCATCTAGTGATCTGTAAAAAATTCCCACTAAAAGTCTTTTTTCCTATCATATCCTGCCCCCAGTGGCACAGCGGGATGTCTGCGGACTTACACTGCTAGAAACCGGGTTTCGATACCCGTGGTGGACAGAGCACAGATAGCCCCTTGTGTAGCTCTATGCTTAACTTTAAACAAACCCTTTATATCCGCTAATAGAAACGCAAATGGATTCAATCTTCTTGCTATTGTCTTTGATATTCTCAATTTCAACAGGATTTAACTCACATTTTACATACAAAGCCACCTCTCTCTCTCTCTCTATCTTTAGTACTCTATCCCTATTAAATAACCTTGTATTTCAAAGACATTTCTGTAATCAAAATCATCTACATTTAACCGTGTTTCAGTTATTTCCATTAAACTGTTGCAAGAAGGTCATGTCTTTATTACATATTGTGACATTTTACGACTATGCATCCATACAAATTATTTTAGGAGTTTATAAACAGATTTTTAGGTACAACTGTTGTTAAGATATAAAGAAATACAAACTATTACGTAGTCCAGGGGCATAAAAACTTGATAAAATCTGGATAATAAAATCTTCAATCCGTTACAGTTATTTAATCCTTTATTGTTTGTTTGTTTTGAATTTCGCGCAAAGCTACTCGAGGGCCATCTACGCTAGCCGTCCCTAATTCAGAGGGAAGGCAGCTAGTCATCACCACCCACCGCCAACTATTGGGCTACTCTTTTACCAACGAATTGTGGGATTGACCGTCACATTATAACGCCCCCACGGCTGAAAGGGCGAGCATGTTTGGTGTGACGGGGATTCGAACTCAGATTGCGAGTCGAGTGCCTTAACCACCTGGCCATACCGGGCCCATTTAATCCTTTAACAAACTAATACTGTGTAAACAATAAATATGAAACATTATTGATCCTGTAACATTAAAGTGGCGTAAACTTTACTATAATTGAAATTGATATTTTGAGATAATGGATTTGTGATTTTTTTATATTTATCATCATTAATTTTATTTATATATACATATTAAGATTTTCTTTAAAACAACATTATATTCCAGTCTTTAACAGATGTTTCACAAAATTATTTGTGGTGTAGTAAAAATAAGGGGTGGGGTGGGCGTGAGTCATTCTTCAATAATTTAATTTCAAAATGAATCAGGAAGATTTTTGAGCAGAAGACGAATGAATCGGAAACGGTTTTCGCCTCTATTTTAGCTTTTATTGCAGTCGGAGTCTAAATAATTTTTCTACTATGTTTAACCTACTCAATGTTTAAAGTCAAAGTCTAAAATAAACCACATTCAGCTGTCCTTTTATTTTGTTTACTTGAGCAGTTCATAACAATTTCTCTTTTGTAACTTCGATCAAGTGTACAGACAATATTTAGTGTGAAAGTTTACTCTAATAAGTTATAATAACAATAAGCAAGACATATCACCGCAGTTATAAAAGATAAACAAGATGGAATACTCAGTAGCCTCGGCACTTGAAATTCTTTTAGGCAGGATTATAGTAAATTAATCTATGAGACCTTATTTCTTTTTTATTGACTATATTTTTATGCGCCAGCAATACCATGCGTGGGGCACACGTATATTGGATTTAATTTTAATACTGATCAGGATCTCTACAAGTCTATCCTCAAATTGAAATTCTTTTAGGCAGGATTAGAGTAAATTAATCTATAAGACCTTGGGCGTGGTCAAATACATGAATCCAAAACTGTAATTAGATTTCAAATCGGTCAAGAGATGACGGAGCTACGAGTTAAAAGTTTGTACTTCAAAAATAAACTTCTCAGAGCCGTTTTATGAGCTGTTATGCTGCGGCTAATAAAAAATATCTGCAAATATTGATCGTAAGAAAAATAAGGAAACAAGGCTGGGGATATTGTATCCATTATCTACTGAAACTACAAACCCTTATTTTGGCTCCATGCTCTTACCCAGAATTTCATTTGGTGGAGTCAAAACAGTATCTCCAGCTTTGCTTTCTTACTTTTTTACGATCCCTATTTACAAATTTTTTAAATTCCCAATTTTCTATTTATCTTGTTTGCTGGCTTTTTATACTTCACTACGGATATTTGTTTGAGAATATAGTTTCTGTGTAACTAAATTCTCTATATATAATGCAAAGCAATTGGTAAATGTATGCCTAGACTAAGACACAACCCCCATTAAGCTCGTATAAAATTTTACCAGTAGAAAAACAGCCTTTTCAAATAAAACATATACGTCTAAAACATCTCTTTAAATAAACCTTCTTGTATTCGAAAGTAATTATTCTACGAATCTGTGTAAGTTAATATTATGTGTATTGGTTTTTTACTCCTTCACTTCATACATAATATATGGGTTGGCTTTCTAAAGCCACTGATTGTATGGTTTACAAAGCATTAAGTACCGGCCCGGCATGGCCAGGTGGTTAGGGCACTCGGCTCGCAATGTGCGGGTCGCGGGTTCGAATCCCCATCACACCAAACATGCTCGCCATTTCAGCCGTGGGGGGCGTTATAATATGACGGTCAATCCCATTATTCGTTGGTAAAAGAGTAGCCCAAGAGTTGGCGGTGGGTGGTGATGACTAGCTGCCTTCCCTCTAGTTTTACACTGCTAAATTAGGAACGGCTAGCGCAGATAGCCCTCGTGTATCTTTCCGCGAAATTCAAAACAAACAAACAAGCATTAAGTACCTACATGTTACAGTCATCTAATGTTAATCTGTTATTCAGGCCTACGATGATTTTATTGTCTTGAAATTTGTACATGTTCTAAAGCAATTCCTGTACGCTTAATTTGAAAATAATATCCATTTTTCTCCATCACGTACAGGTTTTTACATAAGTGAATCATTTTCATTGAAATCGGGTCCATTTTTTATGTTTAAAATGTTTACAACCACTGGATATGGATTTCTCTATACCAATCGCGAAGTGAGAGTCTTATCGAACGTTCTAGAACCCAAACATAACAAACATAATAATAATATAAATATTCATTGTGTTAAACGAAATAATAATTTGATCTAAGTAAGAGTTTTATTTTCTTCCAATTTGTAAAAACATTCTTACGTGATGGAAAAAAAAAGAATATTATTATTGATATCTCCGTAGCTGAATTATGTAAAATCCTTATTAAAACCAAAACAACTTTTATGAAGTTATATATTCGCAGACCTGTGTTATTAAATGGTAATTCCAGTTTCACCCTCTACTTATGCTTTTCAAAGAAACACCAGATATATGTAAAAAAACTAACTACAAGGGGTAATGATAACATCGTTTACACTAGAATTATTATATGTTTAGCTTATTTAAAATATAGAAGAAACAAATAGACCTCTCAATATCCCTACTACATTCGCGGTACATTATTTAGTATTCTACAAAAGATTTGGGTGCAATATACCAAGCCGTTCTTTTTTTTTTTTTTTTTGTTAGATTGTTTGGAATTAAGCACAAAGCTACACAATTTGATATTTGTGCTCTGCCTACCACGGGTATCGAAACCAGGTTTCTAGTATTATAAGTCCGCAGACATACCGCTGTGCTACTGGGGGGCTTGGTGTTAGATGACAAGAGAATAAGTACTTTTTGCTCAAACGTTCTATTAGGGTTTTGTGCAATTCCTTGCGATCTTTGTTATGAACTATTATAGTGGTTCGTGATTAGAAATTTAGCTGCTTTAATTAATAGACGATGTTTCGGCTTTTCAACTGAGCGCTTCTGCAAAGTGACAATAAAGTTGGGGGGGATTTATATTCTCTAGTTAATTTTGAAAAACAATAACAAATGTTTATTTATTTTTGATAGATTGTTTAGGCAAAGTATTCTTGACGAAACTTTGTAGAATGGACGGCAACTGCCTGTTGTAGAAACACAAGTTTCCTCAAATAGTTATTTCAACCTACGTTTTGTCATTTTGGCTTCTTAAGATTGTACAAAAACTCAAAGTTAGAAAAACTATCCGTACTCTTTAAATAATAATGATATAAGTAGTTTTTATTTCAACCCACATTTCGCCATTGCGGCTTCATTAGGATTTACGAAAAAAAAACTAACTTTTCGACAAAATAGTTAGAAAAAAATTAATTTTATTCTCCAGCTAATTAAAAAACAACACTTTTGTTATTTCAACAAACGTTTCACCATATTTTGTGCAAAAACTATAAGTCGATGAAGCCACGGTGATGAAACATTTGTTAAAATAACAAAAGTCTTTTTTTTAATTAACTGGAAAATAAAAGTTTTATTTTCTAACATTGTTATAAAATGTCCGCAACCCTCCAGAATGCACTATAAATTATGTAAAACAACAAAACAGTTATATTACAATATTTAAGGTTTACTTGTCAATAAACTGTTAATTTACATTTGTGTTCTGTAACGAGGCGGGGTTCAAAGTGAAGAGGGGTGTCAAAGTATTTGGTAGTTGTGTTTTGTAAGACTTGGTTTTAAGTTTTATTGCCAAAAAAACACACAAACAGAGCATTAACTAGTAAAATGGATGGAAATTTGCGACATAAGTTGACATTGGTTGCCGTATTAGGAACAGGAGTTTTCATAAGTATAAATAGTTTAGGTTTATATGTGTGTTATATTTTAAATAAAACTATTCGTCGCGAACTGTCTGACTTAGCTTCTGAAGTACGAGAACTGAAACAAGAATTTAAAGAAGTGAAGTCTGTTTTACCAGCTCATTTACTTAGAAAGCGAACTTCAGAGCCGAACTTATCAAAAGTAGATACTAGTGCCATTAGAACTTCAGAAACACGAATACCATTAAGTATTGCTAGTGGTGATGATGGAGAAGAAAGTGAAATTTTCTATGAAGTAGCAGAAAAGTAAATATTGTGTAGTGTATGTGTAGTACAAAATTAATTACACGATATTTATCGCATTTATTTATAAGCTATAATTTACATGTAATTGTTATTTTTTGTTAGGCATGTGTATGAGAGCTAGATTTTAATTTAAATCACGTGTACATCTAAAGGTAATTTAAAATGATGTAATGTTTTGTACTACACACTTAGTAACATTATATTGCCAGAAAGTTGAAAGTTTGAAACTAAGATAGTAACATAAAATTACAAACTTATAATTTTTTCTTTATATCTTTAAATGTGTGGTATTTGTAAAAGAAAAATCTTAAGTATTTGGAAATGAAAGAAGCCTTGTTATGTTACTAATACAAATAGTAATATAAGTCTGTGTTGGATGTTAAGGTAGAACTAGAAGTATGCAGTTATTTTATAGAAACTGTTCACATTCTTCCAACTTTGTACGAATTGTGAAATTCTCGTATTTCTCCTTGTTTTCACAGGAAGTCCAGTTTCTCACAGATACCTGTAATATTGTATGGTTATTTAAAAAAAATTAAGAAAGATGAAATTGATTGAAGGCTAGCAGCCTTAGGCCCTCATTTTCTCTACTAGTAAAAAGAACTACCTTATGTAAAGTAAAAGTGAAAGAGTAAATAATAAATTAACTTTCTAGCTGGGGCATAGTGGATCATAGAATGGTTCTGAGTGTTTTAAGTACAAAGTTTTAGCTCATAGCTCTGTCATCTCTTGACTCATTTGAAATCTAATTACAGTTTAGGATGCAGAAAGTTAAACTTTTTCCATTGATGTATTTGACCATGCCTATTATCTCGTAGACTAATTTACTCTAATCTTGCATAAAATAATTTCAATTTGAGGGTAGGCTGGTTGAGATCCTGATGAGCAATAAAATTGAATTGAGTATACGTGCGCCCCATGCTTGGTATTGCTGGTGCACAAAAATATAGCTAATAAAAGGGAAAAAAAAGGTGTCGTACATTAATTTACTCTAATCTTGCCTAAAAGAATTTCAAGTGTTGTAGCTACTGAGAGTTTTATCTTGTTTTAATTTAGAAACTGCAAGTTCTGTAATACCTTAGAAGGTTGTTTTGGAATGTTTGATATTCATTGTTTATGTCTGCAATTTACAGTGCTTCTCAAAAAGCCATTTGTCTAAATTTGATTTTGATTCTGAAATACCATTAAAAATTGACTACAATAAAAATTTTCTCTTATTGTAACCTTGTTAAGACTTAGGTACAGACTAATATGTAACTGCATTAGGCACCAAACAGAAATCATAATGAATTGGTTATGTCAAAAAATCTAAGAAAATTTAAGCTACTTTTTCTAACTATCTAAACCAATATTCTACCATTAGTACAGTTAGATAATAAAATGATGAAAGGTTCCAGCAACTGAAGTTAATTTTGGTCAAGTTCTGATTCCTCTGTGAGGTTTCTAAACTCACAGAAGTGGATCCATATTCACTAGAAGTGTGTTGTGGTAACTTGCTACAGATTTTGACGTGTAATGGCTTAAGTGATGTATGTGGAGTAGAGATGGTTCAAGATCTTCAAATAGTGACCGAGATGCTGCAGTAGTTGCCAAAGAAATGGTCATCATTTGAAACTCTGCAGTATATTCACTTAAACGTTTAACTACCTACATTGTCCTTAGAATACTGCATATGAGCACAGTTACTGTTGCTGCAAGACAGAGAGAAAAGCTTTTTCATTTCAAAGCTAAAATTAATTAAAACTTACCTACTTTTACCATGTTCCACTAAAGACTGGTAGGACTGTCTATAGTGTCAATAGAAAATGAAATTACAACAAAGCTAGACTACACAGAATTAATGAACACTTTTTCTGCTCTTAAAGCCATAAAAATCTCACCAACAGCCTATTTTGTACTGTACTTGTAATGCACTCCATATTCTCTATGTTAGTATGTAGTATTGTAGTTGCGGTAACTAAATAGTTCAGAATATAGTGTGTTTTGGAGTTACATGCACATTTATTCCTTTTGAGAGTAGGGCTGGAAAGAGGATGCGATAGGAAAGGTGGAAATATCAAAAATCTCTCCGATTGATTCTAAAAATTGCTAACGCCAGCCTTGTTTGTGAGGTTTCAGATTTTGTGCTGTTTTGTTTTCTCAGTATAAGAAGACTATTGATGTATTGCTAAGAACATAATACTAGATGTGTGAATAAAGAAATCTAAGACATGAGAGAATTTTAAACTTGAGTATAATTATGATGAAACATTGTTAGTACTTTCCATTCTCCAACACTTGATGTTTGTCTGTAATGGTCAGTGACTCCAGATGGAGACATAAAACAATAAGAAAGTTTCTATGATTTCTCAAATGAACAACCTTGTACCCATTCATATAAGTTTTGAACTTGTTTTCTTTAAGGTATAAAAGAGCTAGAAGCAACATGATTGATTCAAGTGCTTAGAATTGTTAAAGGCTGGAACAATCTACATATAGGTATTCCTTCTGAATGGTGGATTGAAAAGTTGAAAATGTAAACTTGAATGGACCATAACAAACAATAGACTTGAACTTTAAAAAGCCAGATACAGACTATTTTTTTCAGCAAAATTATTTTGTATTTAAAGTTTCATATACTAATATACAAATTTTAAGTTATTTGCCTAACAGTGTAGTTTGTGTTGTTCAAGTTATTTTAAACAGATGGATGTAAAGAAGCAATATTTAATTTGTTGAAAGTTTTGGATGCTTGTTTTGTTGGTGAAAGTTTTCTGGTATGGGCTAAACAACCTTTTGTCATCTTGCTCTTTCCTATGGTCTTTGTGAACATGCAACACTTTTATGTCCTTGTCGTAAGGGGATCATGTTATTCTAAATGATAGCTCTCCAGAGCCTTACTCCCAGGATACTCTTTAACTTTAAAAGTTTCTTAATAAGATCCTGGAACTTTTTTTTTTTCAAGTATATCAAGACACACTACAGTGTGTCTTGTGGCCCCCAAAAAAAACAACCTGCAGGACACACTGCGTGTTTTCAACAGGAGTAATAGTTTAGTGACTTTCCACCTTCTGTAGCTCGGACTGAGGTAATACAAACTATCACATATTTTCACATACCAAATTTCAAGGTAATACATTAGGAAATACCTGAGATATAAGATCTCCAATATTGATTGAGTTTCTTTCTATTTTTTTTATTTCTTTTCACCAATAGTACGAAAACTTTATTTGATAGAAAAAAATACTTAACTTTTATGGATTTTTTTCAAATTTGGTATACTGATAGATCTTTACATCTTACAATTAGGTGTATCATTTGGTGTAAATGTAAGCCACATGTGCAAAGTTATTCAAGAAAAACTGCTCAAATATAACCAGACTTTTTATGCACATCTATGCAAAAAGTCATGTGAGTTATCGGCCTAACATTTTTACTACAGCTTCACCTAAGATTAAAAGTGGACTGTTTTTGTAATTCAGATTAAAGATAGGTGACTGAGATCAGCAAACCTATAAGGTGAAAGGATGTGCAGATACATAAGTATTGGTTAGGCAAGCAAACTAGCAGTTTTCTAGCTCAAGCTTTCAAAAGAATCATATGGGTGGATGGTTATTATTTATTATTCATTATCAACTTTTCAGCACAAATTTACTAAATTTTATGAATTCTCCAAAGTAAAGAGCATTTAGCATCATGTGATATTAGCTTAAGCATTTAGCATAAATAATGATGATGCTTGATATGGCTGGACTGATTGCATAGGAGTGATTTAAAGAAACTGTTAATGTAGATTCTATGGCATTACTATAAAGGAAGTTATTAACACTGTTTTAGAGAGGAATAACTACCATCATATATTTCAAAGAATCTGGTTGGTTCTGCAAGGTATATGTCTGTTCCGAATAATAGGATTATGATCCTAAAACTAATGTTGGTTACTATTAAGTGTCATTTTCTTACTTGCTGTGGCTTGTTGGTGTGTATTGACAAAATGTCATGATATCTAATCAAAAACACCATAAGTGTGAAAAAAAAAAGGTGTGGCCAAAAAAATGATTCAGTGTGTGACTTAAAGGAATGAAATCAAAGTTGGTGGCCAAACTGGTATCTACATTTATAGCATTGATAAGAATTTTACAGCAAATATTCATTCATTAATTAGCTTGGGCACATATTTTATTTTATCCACCGTCATGTCCAAAGCTGAACAAAAAATGTAGCCTAGCTAACTAATGAATGAATATTTGCTGTAAGTGTAGCCATCAGTTTGGCTGCCAATTTTGATTTCATTCCTTTAATTCACACACTGAATCTTTTTTTGGACACCTTTTTTTTCATACCTAAGATGTTTTGATTAGATAGAATCAACTGGAGTGTCCTCATCCAAAACCAAAAGTGTGGAAGCTTATCAGAAACTCAGAAAATCAGTTAAACAAATAAATCCTTTTCAAAAATCATGTTGAAAATCATTATTATAATACAAAATTTCTAGATAAAGTCCTAGTTAGCATGAGGATTTTTTCCATTATTTTATCAGAAGTACTGTTATTGTGTTCCCTTCTTTCATTTTGACATTGGATTAAGGTGAGCACTACATAACAGTCTCAGGGGTTGTACTAAGAGGCATTGATTCCTCATGTGGAGGCCAGCTGCATCACAGGAGATAGAAGAGTTTGATTGCCGATATTACCAGTGGCTTTCTGGTTATATGTCATGTCCCTGATAACTGCCCATGGGAGTACAGAGCTTGTGCGCCCAGTGGGAGGGACCTTTCATTTTAGAATTCCCTTTAAATGGTTTATAATTATCATAATTTCCTTACAGATATTTAAAGCATAATATCCCTTCAAGTCAAATTTTATGTTTTCAGTCCTTATAAGCTAGAAATTTTTATTCTATTAGATGTTTAATTTTTCTTTTCATCCATTGAAAAACACAAGTTGGAATTTACAAATTTAGTGGGAATACACTCCTTTTCAGTTACTCTTGCATAATTGAACTAATAAAATAATCCAAGCCTCTTAGCTTTCATATTATTTAGATTAGCCACTCAATCTCTCTTTAAAATATCTTACAGTTTTAGTAAGTCAATTTTTCTAATGTAAGGGACTTGACTTTACAGTTGGTTTCCATAAAAAACATAAAATATAATAATGTTCTGATTGGTATTATCCAAGTTCACAAATAAGTTTCTAACCATATCTTACTTATTTCTGTACAAAGAATAGAATCTAAAATATTATCTTCCTTTTTATTATGACCTTTCCTATACTGAACAAATGAGTGAAAAACAATCCACAAAACTTCAGAACATTCTTCCAATTCATGTGACAAAGACAGACTAATCCAGTTAGTTTTCAAAAAATTAAAGCATTCCATAATAATGAGCATTTTTCTGTTTGGATTGCTACTAATCGATTTGTACATATTTCTATCATTGTCAACAACCTGGTCAGGCTGTCCATAGAAGATATTAAGAAACTTTGTTTGTTTGTTGGGAGCCTTAACCCAAACCACAGTATTGTTTCCAGTTTCAATGCTTTCACTTTTCTATTAGCTTTCATCTCATGTTTTTACAAACAAGATTAACCCTCCCCCTCTTTTATTCACAGATTGCTAACAAAAGACTTTGAAAAATAACTTATAATTTTCATTTAACCAATATTTTGTAATACTCGTGACATGTAACATGGTAACTGGTCACAAAGCTTCAGACTCTAGCAACTTACTTTTACCCATATAACTAATTATTGTTTTTATCTTGCACTATATCTTCCACGATGTATTATCTTGAGGTCAAAAACTTTTCCCACTTCTGTTAAATAGTTATTTAGCACTTCCCCAAACACTGTTTTCTAAACTATATAAATGAAGTCCATCACATGCAAATATCTCCCCATATTAATAAATCTATTCTACAAATCTAACCAGCATGTCATTGATATATGTATATATATTCCAAATTATATATTTAATCCATGCAACATGTTTGTTTTTAGAGATACAAATAATACATTGTAAAATTTCAAAGAAAAGAATGAAGGTTGAAATATTCATTTAAGAAATTTTATTCAAAACCTGAAATATCATTAAATCTAAATGTACTTTTACAAATGGCATCTAAACAGACTATAAGGAAAATCATATGTTAAATATATTAACCTTGAATAACACTAAGATCCAAAATACTAATTTTGTATATTGTACAGTAAGCTGTACAGGGCGGGGATTCTATAATGTTTCAAAAATATGACAACTCTTATGATAAGGAGAATCTTGTATAGATACATTTTGTTTTAATAACTTGAAACATTATTTAACTTCTAGTGATTTACTGCCCAATGACTGGACGTACACCAGTGGCTCTATAGAATTGCTCACAACTATTGAAGATGTACAGGAACAAGATTTCTTTAGAAAAATTGATCAAAGCCTAGAAGGTTCAACTGAAGAAAAAGAAGCTGCATATTCAACTTTGTTTTCAAGGAAAAAAGAGGTAAAGTACTTTAGATAGAAAATTGATTTGTTTTTTTTTTTTTAAGAGAATTAGTAAAATTACCCTAAAATTGTATCAAGTACAAAAACCCAACAGTTCATTAATCACAAAATGAAGCGTTTATTCAACAAGTCTTGGGAGGTTTTGAATTTATTTTGAGATCATGGGTAGGATTTTAATGTAAAATTTTTCAATAATAATAATAACTAAATATAAATTTCATTTCTAAGAGAGATGAAAACCCATAATTTATATTTCACCCTTTATCATCCATGGAAGGGTTTTTCCATTACTGTAATTGGTATAAATGTATGGGTGAAGATGATAAAAGGTTAAAACACAAAGGTCAATCACAAGAACCTTTCTAGAAATGTAATGTAATATATATTTACTATATAATTTAGTAATTCTATTCACTAATAGTGCCATTGTTTGTCATATTTAATGGCTATTAATATTTATTTCAAAACACTACTTAAAATCTAAAATAATTTTAAGTTTTCTATGGACTTATAGGAAATGATTTTTTTCATCTATTACTACCATGATTTTGTTACTAAAAGCATCATCAGGTACCAAATGATTTTGTGTTTTGGTGTTATTATTTAGCACCCATAATAACAATCCAAAAATGCAACTCCATAATTTTGCATTATATCTTGTTTTGGTGACTAGTATATGTTTTCCAGCCAAACAATTTACAGATAATAATAAGTTGGCAGACAATGATTTATAAGAATAATGAAGTGATATATTTTTGAGGGAACATACATGTTTTGACAAAACATTAGTCTGTCTTCTTTTGGTATGTGATATGTGGACGACTCTCCACAAATTCATCTCTTCTTATTGTGATGGATTTATTATCACATATTTATTTTAATATCAACGTTTGATTAAATTAAGTTTATATTTAGAAATATACATAGCTTATAGTGTTAAATGTGTATTGCGAAACTCTCGCCTATTCTCTAAAGTTGTAGAAGATTCTCGAGTGTAAGAATCAAAAATGTATGTACATAAACACTTAATGTAGCTTTGTATTGTTATGTAATCTGAATGTTTAGAAACTCTCCACACGCCTATATGTGTAACCAACGTGACGTGCCAAAAAAGAGTATATATTATTAGTTTGCTATAGTCAGTGTTCTGTAAACTTCAGAAGCTATAACTGTGATTGTTATAACGCTTATCAATCAGAAAATGCAGATATTTGACCAGGAGCATTTACAAAGTTTGAACATTACAAATCACTTAACTTCAGTGGATTCTCATCGGACATTAGTACTTTTATGAAAACATTACCTAACTTCAACGGTGAAAAACTCGGCGTGTGTGGCTGGTGAATAATTATGGACAAAGTTATCTAGCTCCCTGTTAAGTAAATTGTACCTTTGTCAACTTGTAATTAACTCGCTCATCGTGAACCCTCAATAAGATATCAAGGAAGTTCCAGACTAGAAAGAAGACTTTATATTGCTTATGAGTTTGTAAAATTTTGCATATAAATCATTGTGTGTAATAATTTATTGTAAATTGTATTGTTGTTTGTATATTAAAACATATTTGTGTTAAAAAAGAAAACTGTTTGTATCAATCTTGTTGGCAAATATCATAAACTGGCTATATATTGGCTTTTACTTAACTGCTAAATTCAAAGTATAATTTTTCTACTAAATTTAACTTACAATTTGATTCAGTTTCATTATAATATAATAATTATAATTCAAATTATAATACGTAACATTATCTACACCATCTGGCTGTTTTGTCTCCTGATGGAAATCGGCTGCCACTAGTTGACATTCTTCAGTCACATCACTGTCTTTGAGAAGATATGTACAATTTCTTTTTCAGAGCCTATTTTTATATTCATAGGATCCTTCCATGTGGCTGGTGTTGCCTCCCAGGGTATACTTACTGAAAATTCTCGTCAAACCAGGATAACGGAAAGTGCTCCTGCCATCCACCCTGGCTCTGCTAGTGCCCACTGTGAAATGGGATGTTCCACATTATACTCAATTGTCTGATCCAGACCATACCTATCCTATGGACTATCATGGGAAAAGCTAGAACCAAGGAAGTGTTCTGCCCATTTCTTTGGCTCATATTTACTGGCTTTTAAAATAAGATTTGGAGGTCACCCATTGCACTGTCTCTAGTAAAGAACCTTCCAGCTGGTGTTCTGATGGATATCTGGGCACTTCTCCAGGTTTCCACATCACAAATTCTCCCCCTTCATTGAGTGGAGCATAAAAGACCCTCGCCATTTACCAGTTCCTAGCTGCTGGAATGGTGGACCATGGAGAATTCCTGCTTGTTGGGCTTAGCACAATGCAGTGAGAAGTGAGGTGGTGGTGACACTATCAGCATAGTGTAGGTCACCCCTCTAGACCATAACTGATACCCCTTGTGCCCTCCTACTGCAACCAGAGCCTGTTCGGTTGTATAGAGGTGAGCACACAATGTACAGAAAACCTGATCCACACCTGATATGCTCTCCTTCTGAACCAAAGTCTGTTCAGTAGATTCAAAGTGAGTATACGTCATACAAAACCATACTGCATAACTAAAGTTCCTTCCTCCTGCAGCTGGAGTCTGCTCCATAAAATATGTTCAGTAGAGTTGATGTGAGCACACACTATATGAATCCTTATTGCATAACTAAAGTGCCCTCCTTCTGCAACTAGAATCTGTCCCATAGAATCTCTTCAGTAGAGTCAAGGTGAGGACACAAGGTATGGTCTGAATGTGCTCCAACCACATTACACATATTGGCTCACTAACAACTTGTGTGCAAGTGCTTGGATGGTCACGTTCTCATTTCACCAATCCCTGCAATACATGGAGCTCATTTGTCTCTTCCCCTTCCATTGTGGCGAAGTGTATACCATAGTCATGATGAGACGTGGTCTCCCATGCGTTTGCCCTTATGGAGCCCCTGCCACCAGGTGTCACATTCCATGGACTTCCCTACAGGCATTTTCTGAAAGGAGCTGAACTAGGTAAAAATTTTAAACTAGTTAATTTCTTTATAATTAAAGTCCCCTACAATAATAAGTGTTTATATTAACAGCATAACTAAGCTACCTATACATACATTGTCATTGCCAGTTGCGTGATTAGGAGAATAAAATACCAATAAGTATGTTTCCTGTTGGGCTTTTTAATTGAAACTTGCACAAAATGTTTACAAACTACTGTGACCTCACGCATCTCTCAAATATTTTGTTTATTTCTAATTGATAAAGCATGTTAATTGTGTTGTGCAAAACACACATTTAGTGCTTATTTGCAATGTGTACAAAGTTCTTGAATATAAGAGAAGTGCAGTGTGTTCCTATTGCACTGCTTCTCTAGTTCGTGAGATCACAGCATTTGGCATAGAGAGTTTGTACTAGGCTTTTGTTGATTTTTCAAGCCCATTTATTAAGGATCATCTACATACATTTTGTGTTTCTTTCAAGTGACATTTGGTGGTACTTTGATTCATTAAGGCTTAGTTTTTGTTATGTAATGAATATAGATCATTCCTGAGTGAGATCATGTTAGTGTCCTTCTCTTGATCAGTTTCCTTGCACTGAACTTGAACATTTCACTTTTAGATTTTATCACTGTTTTGTTTTTTGCAGTTTGAAGGAAATGCAGAATATCTCTGGAGATTAGCCAAAGCTGCTTATCTTTGTGGAATAATAGCAGAAAAGCATTCAGAACAAGAAAAGAAAAGAGATTTTTCTTTTGAAGGTGATATGTTTTTTGTGTATTTTTTAATCTAATGAGTGCTATTGCATTTCATATTTTTCTTTGAACAAAAGATTGTCTGTAGTTGAAGAAAAAAAATCTGCATCCAAATATTGTATTGAATTAATTAGTCAAAAATGTTTGTTAAATGAATAATGTAGTTGGTTTTATTTGAAAGTTTTAGATGTACAAGGGTAATGTTTTAATGGTTTTATTTGAAAGTTTTAGATGTACAAGGGTAATGTTTTAATGGTTTTATTTGAAAGTTTTAGATGTACAAGGGTAATGTTTTAATGGTTTTATTTGAAAGTTTT